AGAATATTTATTATATTTATTGAAAATTTAGACATTTAAATGTTTAATATAAAACGATTATATATTTAGAATCGATTTCAAAATATTTGATCATTTGTAAAAACAATTAAAACGATTATACAGAAATGAGAATCGATTCTAATTTGATTAACGATTAAAACGATTATTATAGAATCAATTCACAGCCCTAGCATGGTAGACAGATTTAGTATCACTATTAGAGGTTATCATCAGATTTGAAAATATTATAAACTATAGGATTTATATAACGGAAACGGACTTGGTAGATTAATTTTTTATCAAATTTGTTAGGATCAGTTTTGGGAGGTTCAACAGTAAATCTGTCTACAATGCGTATCGGTTTTGAGAGGTTCAACAGTATCTTTATTTTTTTTTTTTGCACTTATTCAACGTATTATGGCGCTGTTTGTTTTACATAGAAAAGAAGTGATCATAAAATTTTAATAGTAATGTGACTATATAGAGTTTTTAATACGGTGCTGCTCACTTCACCGACAATCATTTCACCGAAAGTTCACTTAACTGACATCACATAGGGTTAGGATTAGCGTTTTATTAGTTGCAGGTATATTTTAGTAAATTGTCACTTGGTGTGATGTCGCTGTCAGTGAAATGAAGTAAGGCGGATCCTTTTAATAATATATTGCCAATAATTTTTCAAAAAATGGTGCTTATAAAAGAGGATGTGATTATATAGGAGGTGGCTGTAGAGGAGGACGGCTGTAATAATAATAGATAAAATAAGCCTATAACCGACGGTGACAATAATTGGAATTCATTTAAGATTAATGGTTAGAATTATAGTATTATATGGTAAAACTCTCAAGGAATTACTTTGTCAGGTATCAAATTAAGTATCATATTTATAATTTTGTTTATTTAGTTTTGAAAATTTTGAAATTTTAATCATGCATCAACTTTGTGACAGTTACAAATAGATTTACTGTGCCAACAAATATATTACTAACCTTGGATATGATGTAATGTAAATTAAAAATTAGCTTTATATGACCTTGTTAATTTTTTGGGGTCAACTTCTTTTATAACTGATGGTTTGGTAGAAAAACTTTATTATTAGTTAAAACTACCATTTTCGTATGAACCGGTGAAACTACTGTTACCATCGGTTGTGAGAGCAATTGCGGATGTTAATCAAATTTAACTCCGATGGTTAACTTGATTCGGGATTTATAACACTTGCGCACGTGATATGATGTCACGAACGCTTAAGCTGAGTCGGGGTTATCAATTAACAGGTCAAACTTAATTATCAGGAGGGGTTTATTATATACAATAAAATAAAATATGCAATACGACAATAATAAAGAAATATTTAATACAACTATAAAAGGAATAAACTAAACTAATAACTAATACATGAAACTCAAATAAAACACAAGTGGGAATCCGATTCTTATTATAAACTATATAATTAAGACATCGTAGGTTCTAAATCATAAGGGGAGACTTATAGTCTAAGGACGTGTAGTCTAGGACGCATAGTCTAAGGAATCTTTACTAAGGCGGAAACCCAGACGTTAAATACCTTTTACTTCGCCAAGAGACACTGCGCTATCTTTAATCCCAGGCTTATCTTCTCAGCAATCAATCTTCGGGTTGTTAACAACCGCATCAGATAGCCACCAAATATTGCTAACAATCGTTGCTCCAAATATTTCTCACTATGAATGTGCTGTTTATCATATGATGGGAGTAATTAACCACCGGGATTGATTTGTATCTCTAAGCCTTCATCTGCCGGATTGATCTGTAATCTCTAAGCCTTCACCCGCCACCTAAGAGCCTCACAATATACTTGTGACTCGGATAATTTGGGCTTTTAGTACCACCAAGTTACATCAAGGCCACAGGTTTAAACTTTAACCCGTGGCACCACTGTAAATAACGAAAAATGAAGTATTTAGAAAAAAATTTTTTAAGATTGCGCTTATTCAATGGCCGTTGTAAAGAAGGTTGTAAGATGGTATAATATAGTGTGATAATTACTGGTTAAATTGATTCGTCGAAAGCTTGCCAACGTCAAGATGATAAAATTTTAATAAATAGACGTTTAGTGCTTTACGCAGTAAATATGTAGAATTTATAGTCATATATCTCTCCCATGTATAATACGCTCATACTCAACATTAATTAACTAATGTGAATAGATAGTTAAATGTTAATGTAGCGTTCCAAGATCTAACAGTGCAAGATCCGTTTTATTTCTTTCATATGATATTAATATGTCTAGACCACGGTAAATGCCTGAAAGTTATAGTAATAGAGCTAGATATCAGCCGGCGTCAAAATTATCCGTTTCCTACTTACCATAAAACACCTAATTTAGGTTACATATGATCATGTGGGTAATCATATTTGCTAATAAGCCTTGAATTATTCTAATTACGGTATATATAAATGCCATAAAAAGATAAATCAACATGCTATTGTAAATATATTTGGCTTTTTGTAAACTATTAATATAAGTGTAGCTTAACATTTATCGTTTATTAATCATAAAGTATTAGATTTGTCTTAATTAACTCATATAGTCCTCATATGAAATAGAATAGATGAATTGAATCTGTGATTGACCACAGTGCATAAAGATATTATAGATTTATACGTCATTGATGTTATTGGTGGTATTTAATGCAAGATATTATCGGAGTTATCTGATTTTTTTTCTACTCAAATTATTAATTTTTACAAGATACAATAGCAACTCTTTTAAAAATGTTTGTAGATATAAGTACTTCTATACCCTCAGCATCAAAAGTAACGTCAAAAGTAACATCAAAAGAAACTTCAAAAGTAACATCAACACTGACAACAACTTTCAACCCGACTGTTTCTGTAATGATGCCTACTGAATCTAGTAATAGAACTTTCCCGACTTTTCCGACTTTTCCGATAGATATTAATTTACCTGATAGATTTGATGCTATAGGAATAGCAGCAGTAGCATTTACTGCTATTTCTATCTTAGTGGGTATATTGATATTTTATAAGAGAAAAAAATATCCTAAGAAGGCTAATAATGTTAATAAAGGACAGAACATTAAACGATTTATGTATGTATTCAAGATTTCATTTATCTGATGATGAAAATTTATTAAAATATATCTATAACGGTAATGGTTGTTATTTGTAAAAGGGGAATTTTCACACCTCGATGCGGATCTTTTATTTCTATAGTATGGATGATTGTATGTATGTTATTTAGTGGATGTATAATGACATTTTCAAAATACTCTTTTTCTATTTCAAAACTTGAGTATTATAACGGTAATTAAGTAATGAATATTATGATCATGTTACTGTATTTTACTTCTCACATCAACTTTGCATTCGATATAATAGAATACATTACTGTTGTTATACAATATGATGATGTTCTTAGATGGATTGGTATAAGTACGATATTGGTTTCAATTGCTTTATGGCCTGGCATCTTTATGATCATTTGCAAGTCGTCATCCATGACAGTACGAATACTTGTCAAGATTTTTATCTTTGAAATATTTTATTTTATAATGTCAAATGTGGCATTCATAAGTGTCTATGAATATGCGGGTATAAAATGTCGAGAAAATTGGTACAACTATTATGATCTAGGAATTTATGTAGAACGTTTTCTGGTACAAATGTATGAAAACACGTACACAGAGTTCAACATGCCTCTATGGACGATTCCATTAATCTTTGGCACCTTTCCAAGCGTTAGTAGCATTTTGAAAATTTGTGAAATGTTTCAATCTCACAAATAATGTTTCTTATTACTGATTGATTTTTTAAATACAATTTTTGAATTTAGCCATATTTATATTGTTGCATACGATCTTATGCAAGAGAACTGAAAAATAATGAAAAGGGTTATGGTAAAATAAGTAGCCTATTGAAGTAAAATGTGCATATACTTGAGATCCAATTGAATTAATGGATGTTCTATAGAATAGGTGGGCAATATAAAAAATAAACTCCGCTAATGATTAGTAATTATCAATAGATATTTAGCGGAGTTTGCCCACCTATTTTATAGAACATCCGAATTAATTAAGTTATTATTCTTTTTTTAATTTAAGATTTAACTTATTTATCGCGCAAAAAGATGAGATCATAATGTCGATTCTGTAGATTTTAAGAATCTTATCGATTTCAAATAAATATAAATATAACTGATCGAAAATATGAATTAATAGACAATTTAGAATCTCGGAAATTTTCCTCTTTCATCTTCACAAATATCGTGGGGTTATATCTTTTTTGCAAAGCGCTATAATTATATTTAGTTATTTGCAATGAGAATTTTTTACAAGTGATATTATATTTAAATTTGTAATCTTTGCTTCTCGTATTATATATATATATTAATCTAGATCTATACAAACATTTAAATTATGTATGCAATTTTTTTACTTTTTTTTTCCAATGAAGGCCGCAGCTTGTGACCATAAAATAGAAATGTTTTTAATATTTTTTTCATCATAAAATAATCTAAAGTCAGCTGGTCTAAATTCGTACTCTAATAACTTAACAGGTTTTCTATTACTATAAGTTTCAGTATAAAGAAGAGTAAGTCTTATTCCTGTTAAAGGAAAATTCTTAGGCATCAAAGTATTATTTTGTATCCCTAATATATTTAGGGAATCCAATATCTCATCTGAATCAGTAACAAATCCACCAGGAAATGAGGTACACGATAATAAAGGAATACTTGCAATTCCACCAATTGATATTGTAGATACATTATTAAGTTCAACAGCATGTTCTACGATCATTGCACATGCAGATCCACATAAGCCATTTGTTAAAATAATATAATCTTCAGGTTTCCAAGGAAGCGGAGTTGTAAAATTTTGAATAAATTCCTTCAAAAATTCTACATATGCATTAGAAATAACGAATTTTTTTGAATAATGCTCTGTAATATTGCCTCGGGTAAAACTATTATTTCCAAAAAGATCATTTGCGCTTGTAAAATTAATATAAGTTTTTGCATCAGCATAATCAGCCATATCAAAAACATTTTCTGGTATTGCAAGTTTAAATTGTTCAGTGATTGCGAGTTTCATTGGCTCAGTAATTCGAAAATCAAATTCAAAAGAAGGATATGTGTTAGAGAATAAAAGTAAACTGATAAAAGCACTAATTAAATCGTATCCACCTAGATTGTCCGTTAAGTCAAGAACAACCTTTAATAACGGTTATAAATAAATATTAAAGAATATAAATAAATAAAAATAAATGTACAAATGAAAGGAAATGAATAAATATGCAAAATTATTACTTACCTTTTTAACACCTGTATTTGTTAAATCTTTAAATCCTTGAATTATATTTGTGAAAAATGCGGAATTAAAATTATCATTTTCATCATACATTTCAGGATATTGCATTGTAAGGATTCGAACAACTCCAAAGTCTTTTATTTTATAAAATTCCATAAAATCTTCAATAATTTTTATAATAGTTAATCCCTCAGGTTGTATTGTCATTATACGATGAATACTATTGGATGATATTTTAATATCTTGAAGCCCGCTACTATAAGATGTTGGTTTATTTTCTTCCGTAGCATTACAAATATTTGTAAAATAAGTTCTTGAATTATTGAACCTTTTTAAAAGTGAAGGAGTACTAAATGCAACCCAATTTCTTGTAACATTAAAGCTCCTAGTATGTTTATAACATTTAAGTGTATAAACGATATTTGGTGTCTCTGGTAATTCAGCTCGTACAGAAAAAGAATATCCTGAATGTTTATGATCAAGGGCTGTATTAAATCGTACTCCAATATCTCTTGATAAATAAACTGAATCTTGGGCAAATTTATAAATCACTTCAAATGCTTGATGACCATTTATATGAGTTACTTCGCAATCAATATTAGATGGATCAATGGTATCATCAAAGACTTTTATTATCTAATATACGTATATATATATATATTCAAAAAAAAAAAAGAATTATATATTCATTACAAAGAGAAATTTAAATAAATTATAGTCACTAATTACCTGTTCACCATCGTCTTTAACAATTGAATATAACGTAATATTTGTAATAAAAGCAAATGTAGAAAAGCAATCTGTTATAAATAATGTATGTGGTTCTTTCATATCATAAAAGAAATATTTAACATTAATCTATTAAAAAAATAAAACAAGATTATTAATCAAGCAAAAATAAAGTAGTTAAATGTAAATTGAATTATAAATTACTATAAAGTCGTATAAATTTTGAAAAGATTTTTTCTGCAAAAGTTTCAATTCAGCTAATATATCCTTTGACTTAAAGCTAAATCCGGATTGTGGTGGTTCTTTTGCTTTATCCAAAAATGGATAAAACCCATCGAGTAACCTGGTTAATGTTTCGATGGTCTGCAAATTAGCATATCAATTGATCAGAAATACGAAAGTTTTGCAGCTTTGTATTTTAAATGCGCATATATGCATCTATAAAGTATTGCGATTTTAAATGCATTACAATGTTTTTTATGCGCATATATGCATCTACTGCAAATACCTTAGAAGCAATTAGGTCATCGAACGGAATTCTTTCGTAACAATCTTTAACATCTTCATAACTAAATTTATTTGACTTTTTTGAAACAAATTTATTATGAATTCTTATGCATCCATCAGAAACAGGATCTTCTCGTAGGATCGCATATGATTGAACAATTACGATAGAAGAAAACACGAACGCAAAGAATGCTATATAGAATTTCATAATATATGAAGTTATTAAATAAATCAAGTAAAATAATTATTAGAAAAGTCTTCAAAAACTTTTTTTTTTAGCAGTCGCGTTTCTGCAAGCCTATTTAAAATATCTATTTTCGTGGCATACCTAAAAATAGGTTGCAATAATTTGAAAATATTTTTCTTTTATAATTACTATATATATTTGGAATATTTCTGTATTTATATAAATTTGATAATCTAGATTTTCATTTAAATAAATTTAGAAATTTAGACGCTTGTAAAATCTACAACACTGGTGGTTAATATTATGTATACCTTTCAAAGCTTCATGACCATATTTGCAATCACTAATTGGTTAATGGTTTGTTCCTCAATAATGCAATATTGTAATAATTAGTAATAATACCTTAAGATTTAAGAGTTCTGTTGGGTGAATATGTAGAAACATATTTTTAAAGCCTATTCTATAGCTATGATTACTCGATACTCAATTCCTACTAATTTAAGTCAGAGATTATCAAGGAAATAAGTATTTACCATAGTTAACGAAAGCAGAAGTTTAATTAATATTAAGACGTTGAAGCAAACAACAGGTAAGCTTATGGCTTAATTTGTCCATGATAGCGCCTATCATTAATGCAATAAGTTATAACTCGAATGTTTGGTCGGTAAAGACACACATAATTAGAAATCTATTATTAGAAATATGCAGTATGGTACACAATACTCGGTAACACTGCACACCGTATTCAATTATTGTTTTTCAGGGTTTCTTAATTTACTGTTATTTAATCCGAATTCAAATTGTTAGAATATAATTAATACTAAAAGAGAAAGATGTGTAAAAACCAAGTATATTCGGAGGAAAATGAAACCTCTAATCAAATGTACTACTAATTAATCTATAAAAAGATTCGGAACTAGTGTCGGCTGGAATATGCGATATGGATACTCGTATCAGATATGTACATGTTTTCGTAGACCATATGTATCCGTAGAATTAATGCTCTTATAAATCTTAATTTTATATCATTTCATTATACAGTCAGACTCTCTAAATGCAACCGCTTAAATGTAATACCTCTTTAAATTCAAGTTTTAACTCTGGCCCAAATATATATCCGACACTCATAATGTAATTTTTCTCTAAACACAAGCTGGTTCTTGCGAATTGCATTTAGAGAGGGTTGACTGTAGTAAGTTTTATGGGCGATTGGAAAGTTTTTCTCTAAAACAATCGGCTTGTTATAAATGATGTTAGCCGTAATTTTTAAAGTAAATTTACGACGGTTATTTTCAAAAACTCGTTTCAAATTTATTCAAGAACTACATATCAAAGTTGTAACCAAAGGAAATTAAGAAGCTTTGAAAATTGGAAGGTTTAGGCAGAATATATATACAATGTTCCAAGACAATTCTGCTAAGAAAAAAATTACTGTATAACTAAAATATAAATTACAATACTCATTATATTTAAATTGTTCGGAGAAACCTCTCTTTTGCGAGTATAGATTAAAAATAGGAAATCTCTATATGTACACTAGTGTGTGAAACACAGGTACATATAATAACTCAAAATTTTGCTTATGAAACCACTCTTTAGGCTGTAACAAAAAAAAAAAAATCTACGTGAAATTTAGTATAAACTACTTTCTAACCCAACCTAATTCTAGTCTATTCTATAACATTAATAAGATTTAATTTTTTTCTTTAAATTTTGCATTGCATTGATATACGAATTATCGTGCTAGTGTTAATTAGAAAGTTTCTTAAAAATAACTTTTTATTCTAAATAGATGCCTTATGTTCATCCTTTTCAACTTCAACTCCATTTCGATAATAATATCCAACACCATATGCTCCATCAGCGTTGCCCAACTCTGCAGATTTTTGATAATAGATGAATGACTTACGCTCATCCTTTTCAACTCCAATTCCATTTCTATAACATTCACTAAGTGCAAGTATTCCCATGACATTCCCCATGTCTGCAGATTTTTGACAATAAATGAATGCCTTATGTTCATTCTTTTCAACACCAATCCCCTTTTGATAACAAATCCCAACCTGAAGTGTTCCATCAGCGTTTCCTATCTCTGCAGATTTTTGATAATAAGTGAATGCTTTACGTTCGTCCTTTTCAACTCCAATTCCTTCATTATAACAATGACCAAGAGCAAATATTCCATCAGCGTCACCCATCTCTGCAGATTTTTGATAATAAATAAATGCCTTATGTTCATCCTTTTCGACTCCAATTCCATTCTGATAACAATTTCCAACTTGGAATATTCCATTAACGTCACCCATCTCTGCAGATTTTTGATAATAAATGAATGCTTTATGTTCATTCTTTTCAACTCCAATTCCTTCGTCATAACAATACCCAATCTGAAATGTTCCATTTTCATCACCCATCTCTGCTGATTTTTGATAATAAATGAATGCCTTATCTTCATCCTTTTCAACTCCGATTCCCTTTTCATAACAGTGTCCAACTTGAAATGTCCCGTTAGCGTGCTCCATCTCTGCTGATTTTTGATAATAAATGAATGCCTTAGGTTCGTCCTTTTCAACTCCAATTCCATGATGATAGCAATGTCCAACATTAAATGTTCCATTAACATCTCCCATCTCTGCAGATTTTTGATAATAAATGAACGCCTTACGTTCATCCTTTTCAGTTCCAATTCCATTTTGATAATAATATCCAACTAGGAATGTTACTTTAACGTCCCCCATCTCTGCTGATTTTTGATAATAAACGAATGCTTTACGCTCATCCTTTTCAACTCCAATTCCATTCCTATAACAATATCCAACATTATATATTCCGCTAGCATCTCCCATCTCTGCAGATTTTTGATAATGAATAAATGCCTTAGATTCATCCTTTTCAACACCGATTCCTTCTTCATAAAAATTTCCAACCTGAAATGTTCCTTTAGCGTGCCCCATCTCTGCAGATTTTTGATAATACATAAATGCCTTACGTTCATCCTTTTCAACTCCGATCCCATTTCGATAACAATATCCAACATTAAATGTTCCATTAACATCACCCATATCGGCAGATTTTTGATAATAACTAAATGCCTTGCGTTCATCCTTTTCAACCCCGATTCCTTTTTCATAACAGTATCCAACGCTACATGTTCCATTAGTGTCACTCATCTTTGCCGATTTTTGATAATAAATAAATGCTTTACTCTCATCCTTTTCAACCCATTTACCATAACAGTAACAACTTGCAAGAACGATTTGAACCGTAGGATTTATTTGATCTTCTAAACAAAATTTAATAATATTATCAGGTTTTTGTTTCTTTTTTATTAAAAATTGTTCTAATGTATCAAGAATTAAACGAGAATTTTTTCCTTTCAACCTTTCTTCTTTATACAGATTACACATTTTTTTAACGATCTTTTCTGGCTGCCTTACAAAGAGTTTATTGTAAATTGACATTTTGAATAATGAAAGAAGTGTGTCACCTACGGAAACATTAATTTATTGAAAATATGTATTACATTGCGTAACGTTCATTAATATGTTGATGCGTTGCTATATGCATATTGCACTTCTTTACAAAAATTGGAAATGTTAAGCCCATTAGTAACTTTACTTTATCTATTTCTAGCACTAGTATTCTTCTAATTATTATATGACATCATTATACGTGATAAATCAACCCAATTTAAAATTTGATGTAATATAGTTCTTAAACCAACCTTTACCTTACAGTTGATCAATCAAGGAGTACCAATATATAACCACTAGCAATAAATCATAATTTTTAATAATAAATTTTTTATTTAAATAATTTTATTAATAAATACACTTTGTGTGTATATATATACATGAGTATATTAATTTATAGATTTACAACAATCCGTGTAACAAAGACTAAAAATTAAACCCGGTTAGGTAAAGGCTAGCTTTAGGATGAGAAAGAAGTATAGTTTATGTTAAAATTATTTTAGGAGTATTTTTTATTAGAATGTCCAAAATGGTTTTATAATTAAATTTTAATGAATAGTGAGCCTTGAAACACGTGGTGGTCATCAGTTGGGCGAGCGTCGAATTAACGGTTACGGCGATCACTTACCATAAATAGGTTTTCCGGCAGTATACCGTTGTACGCATTTACGCATTTTCTACAGGGGGACCCCAAATTTCCGGGTCGTAATGGCCGGAATGCGTCGTGGTTTGGGTCGGGGTTAGTGCTAGGTTAGGGTTAGTAGGAGCTATAGGCTATAGTAAAATTATCAGCTGGGCACTTTTCACTCAATGAACGACTATTGTTTCATTAGTAAAGTTCTTAGTGATCTTGGGGCAAAATCGATCAACTCCGGCCCTTCTGACCAGAGTTCCGAAGCTTCCGACCCGGAATTTTGGGGATCTCCCTGCTTAATGGATATTAGCGAGATGAAGGGAATCAGTGATATCAATAGTATAATTAGTATAATCATTATAGTTGTATAATTGATATGCCACGGATAAGATGTGTAATGTGTCCTAAGTAAAAGAAAGTATATAATAAAGACGTTTCGCTAGGGTGTTCAATAAACTAATTGATCAAAACTTAGGGTCATATATGATCATTAATTTCGGATTTTTTAAAGGGTTATTTCACATATGAATTTGTACAAATTTAGGTACATTTTTCTACACAACCAACAAACAAAACTGCATGTGTTTTTTTAAAACTGTAGTTCTAGACTAGCTCTACACTGTAATAGAACCGGTTTTTTTAATAACTTTTAATAAAATTTTGGATTAATTTTTATTAATAATTAACATAGATTATTAAAAAAAACCGGTTCTATTACAGTGTAGAGCTAGTCTAGAGCTACAGTTTAAAAAAAAAAACATGGTACATTTTGTCTGTTAGTTGTGTAGAAAAATGTGCCTAAATTAGTACAAATTCATATGTAAATTTATATATGAAATAACCCTTTAAAAAATCCGAACTTAATGACCCTAACTATGTTTTGATTAATTAGTTTATT